ACAAGTTGCGAAAACAAGGTCAAACAACTTCTATACAACGGAAGGAGACTGTGACCACAAAAAAGACCACACCATCTTGGTCTTCATACTTTCGATAAATATATAGGTTTTGAAGCCGCGATACCAGTTTTCTCAATCAATTCATTAATATGGTCTATTAAATGGGCAGAAGTAAAGATTGAAAAATTGACTGATAATACCTCATTAGCATCATCATTATAGGATGATTATAATTTTCATTTATCTCCAAGTTCATTTGGCCGTTGTTTAAAGCTGCTGAGATGATGTTGAAAGGAGGCAAGCAGTCTGAGACAACTAATGAATGAGATCGATTAAATATAAATACATTGGATACTATCTTAAAAGAATTGATGAATGGGCTTTTTAGAAATATATCCAGGCTGTAGTAAGTTGATATGAAAGATAAAATACTGCTATACAAATGCAAATTTTGAAAGAACCCTGTTATGCTTAAGCTTTACTTTTTTTTCAAGAAGCTTTATTTGTTGCATAAACCGAGGATAAACCTAGATTTATCCTTTGTTTGCTTTATATATTTGAGATAAAATATCCCTATACACATGTTTGATCGCTACTAGTTTAAGCCAATATTGACATCGATCTTAATACTACACTAATCTATCTCTTTTTCCTGTTTTACCTAGCTGAATGATCGTCAAACGGCCTCCGTAACGATTCAGCCCAATTATAGGGATACTTATTTTCAGGAATTATACAGCAAACAATCTCATTTTCCATTCTGTACCTATATTTCCCACTTTAATTAAGCCTTTTGCTCTACCGTAACGCATATCTAATAAGTTCAGAACGGCCGTCTGTTTCCAATTTCATTTGTTCATTGAACACTTAGTCACTTTAATTTTTGCCTTACGTGTTTGGATTTCCTCACCTTCGAATCTGCCAAATGTATTTAAACGTACAAAAACATGTATTCATCTTATTTCGTTTTAAGGTGATTAAGGGCTATTCGTTGAGTTTTCCTACAATGAATTCAACATACCCTTGCTTCCCCAAAGGTATCCTCATCCAGACTGGACCCCAGTTTCAATCTTGCTTAGGTCTCATCATCAATCCTAGCAGGACTCGAACCCAGTTTGCGATAGTTCATCATATATTCTCAACACGCTAACCACTGAGCCACATTTCTACGAGTGCCCTTGGTTCACAGTGTAAACTAGAATTTCAAGGAAGACCAAACCCTTTTCATATCACTTTTTGTGATACAAGTGTCGATGACGCAAAGTTGTATTTGCTATAGCAATCGGCCACATTACTTATTTTTGTCTATAACTAAGTTTCACTACTACCAGGGAAGCAAGGCTATGCAAAATTCAATGGAAACCTGAGGCCCTATAATATCATGGTGGGAAAATTCAACTTCCAGTCCTTCATCATCTTATAACGAAATAGATTTGATATACTGCTATTTACTTATTACTAAGGTAATTTTCATTCCTGACTATATTTGATTAGGAATTTTTTGTAGTGCAACAATGCTTTGTTGTTTCATATTCGAAAATTAATTTAGTTTCAATGAATTCCTTGAGATGCATTTGCCATGCTTACTTTTATCCCGTATTTAAGTATATTCTTAGGTCTCTATTATCAGAAGCCTTAGGCCAATACCCATTGTTATGTAGCCATTTAGCTTTAATACGATATTTAGGTTGGCAAATTCATCGAGGCATCCTACCTTGCTTAAGGTGAAAACAGGCTAGACTCTCGTCCTTTAAATGACAGACACCGCCAGCACTACTTGGACACTTCTGGCAATAGCTTAAAGTAATATATACTCTTAACTAAAAATGAAAATATGTAGCCAAACACGCATAGATTTAGAATGCTTTGGTTAGTCCTTTCTTTATATTAATCTTACTACTTGTATTTGTATGTGTGTGTTAGCATTGATATGTGTACAAGTCGGAGAACACAATGTCAGTCATAATTCAAGGTACTCCCAAAAAAACATAACGCTAGTCCCGGATCATCAAAGCTTTAGGACTTAAGGAAAATTACGACCGAGCTTGCCCAAGCCCCTAAGGTACTTCTGAGTGAAGTGATGAGATATTAGTATGTATGCTTTTAATTCTTTACCTGCTTGGCAATTCTTTTTCGGTTTCCTGTAAGGCGAATCCACCAATTCCTTCGACTATTCAAAACGAAAAGTCGTGTCGCACTAAATGACTTGTTCATGTCATTGGTTCGAAACCTTAGTCACACTCCTTTTTGATTCTTATTTCTTACTTTGCCGCTAGCATTCTTCATACATACTCCACTCTTCTGCTTGCACAAAATGTGTTATCTGGAAATCTTACTGCTACTTTCTCTCGCTAGTAGAGATTGCCATAGATTCATTTTTCATTAAATTAATCGGACCTTCTTACTTTACGCATTGTCGAATCTACCCTTGCTTGGACTCATTCAGGCGTAGTTCGATTTGGTGCTAAATACTAATCTTATTTTGCGTTCTTTAATAACGCCTACGTCTCTCAAGTGTTTTTTTACTCTAACTTTCGCCTTTGTCAGTAACCAAATCATTAAACTATAATCTGTATCTCCTATGCAAGTAATTTCGAACTGGGAAACTTGCTGTATTTTTGTCTTCCACTCTTTATCGCACCTACTATTTTTAATGCAGTACGTTTTTTCCCTTTCTTCCAGGCGTATCTCGTATATTGGAAGAGGATAGCGATCCAAACATTGAGCCTAATTATAGTCATCTTAGCATAGGTGTTCGGCCACCAGATAGACCAGGCCGAAAGCACAATACTGACACATTAGCTGAATCTCGAATCGACACTACATATTGGTCGGAAGGTCGTCCGAGTCAAATCAGATCACCGAAACAACCAGATTCACGATACCCTGGAGCACGGTCTTTGATGGATGAGAGTGGCACTCCTGGAGGTGATTATCATCCGTCCATTAGCACCGAGGATGACGAAAAGGAGTGCTACTTTAGAAATGGATATTCTGAAGATCATGAACACAGAGAAGATGGTGACGAGGAGGCTAATGAATCGTCCGACACGAGCAAAGAGGATAATACTAGTGCTACTAGCGGACACACTAGTTTTGATGGCAAAGAGACTGACATTGATAAGGCCAGGCATGCCAGTAACCGGAGAAACAGCGGGATATTAGACAAGAATTTAAGGAATGTGACCGTGGATAGTGATGACGGCGAAAATATGACCCCGTTGCCCACTTCAGGAGCTCCACTTGCTTGGGCCAGCATGCGTTGGTCTCGCGTCAACTGGCGTGATCGACGTTCAGACGCCAATTCCAATGCTCCATGCACGGCGCCCCATTCTACTTTGTCACAGCTTGAGGATCAGAAGCGTGGGTCTCGTCATCGACGCCCCGCTACCGCAAACTTTACTGACGCCAATCTTAACATAAGTCAAGATGGGGTATTTGATACTCGAATGTTGACTTCAAACTCTTCTCAACTTAGCCGATTAGACGAGGCCAGCAGGCCAACTTCAGGCAATCATGCACCTCCTATTCCGCAGCGATTACGCGCCAGCCAGCACACCAAAGAAGAGCTGCGTTCATCTCCCGGTGAAGTGAGCTCTTCTTTCTCACAGGTTTGTTTCTGAATGCCTCGTTTTTTCGTTTTCCCATTAAAAATTTATCATCAAACGGAACCTTATTACGGCATTTAGGATGCGAAAATCTTTCGCAGGAATACGGTCTATTATTGAAAGCTTCTTCCATTTCCTTTATTTAGAGTGTGAATAATGAAAAAAAATTTGATTCACTATTTTTTTATTTTGTGCTTAACAGCTTTTATTTATGGGATGATCTTGACACACTAGATATTTGTACCTCTAAAGATGTATCTTTTAATAATCAATTTCGTTTGTTTCTCCATATCTATACATGATTTATTCATTTTTTTGTCGTTTAATGGAACTTTTCATTTCACTTAGTTGTCTCAATTATACTTTCTGCTTCCATCCCATTTCTGCTCATTTATGCCACAGTTTAATAAGTTA